CTCTGTGTAAGTGCAGGCGATAGTGCACCTAACTCTGCGTAGGTACAGGCGATAGTGCACCTAACTCTGTGTAAGTGCAGGCGATAGTGCACCTACCTCTGTAATGGTGCCGACGATAGTGCACCTAACTGTGTAGGTGCAGGCGATAGCAAAGCTCAGTTCTTAGATTTGCGCACAAGAATACTTAATTTAAAACATGCAATTTTTTCTCATATTCTGAAGTTAAAAAACATTTATGGTTCCAATAATGTAGACTTAAACCCATCAATAATTTTGAAGCCTTGCTTGAAGAGAAAATAAATATTGGCTTATAAAAGCAAAGTAATTTTAACGAAGGGTTGCGCGTGTGCAGCTTTACTAAAGGTTATTTCGCGAAAGATGGTTGCAGAAACTTTGGGAACTCCAAAACTGAAGCAATTATATATATACGGGGTTGGGAAGAAAAAAATTTGAGAAAACTGCTCAAGAAGCTTTTAAGTGGAAAGAGAGTGCTTGCACATTACATTTTGAATGTTCAGTCGTTGTTTCCATGGGGTTTGCTAAAGTTTTGTCTATAACTTACAGGGCTCTGGAAAACGTTTTCCCAGGAGATCGCCACTACATCTTGACGCGTTCGTCCTACATCGGTACGGGTCACTTCGCCTTCCATTGGCTTGGCGATAATTTCGCCACGTGGGAAGACATGGCCGCTTCCATCATAGGCGAGTAATTAATTTTCAAGTGCAAATGATCTTCTTCTACCGCATGGAAAAATGTCGCGAAAACAAATTCATCGATGATTCACACGGTCTTTGTAGATCATACGGTGGCAGAAATATGTCATAAAAACAAGTTCATCGATGATTTCGACAGTCATCGTTCTTTTCAATTCCAGGAGTACTGGAGTTCAACATGTTCGGCGTACCGATGGTAGGACCTGATATTTGCGGTTTCTACGGTCATCCAAGTGAAGAGCTGTGCACGCGCTGGCAAGAACTCGGTGCCTTCTATCCATTCAGGTAAAATTTCCAACTATTTTATTTTATGGTGAAGATCTTTCTTTGAAATACTATATTGTGTTTTAGCTAATATTCTAATTATTGTTAACTGTTATCTCTTAATATTTCAGTCGCAACCACAATGGATTCGGTGAGCCTGACCAAGACCCAACGGCGTGGCCGCAAGTTGCCAATATCACCCGTCAATATATGTTGACGCGTTATCGCTATCTGCCCTACCTCTACGCTCTTTTCCATCGGGTTAGTGACAGGATATTCTCCTCTTGAATTGTTTCTCAACTAATTGCATATTTACTTACAAACAATTTGTTGTGAAAGTAAGTTCAAGGGTGATTTCTACTCTTTCGTTGTGCAGGCTCAAATGAACGACAATTCGATCATTAAATTCACATGATCAATTAATCCCATATGTGACCCAAAACCCTTATTTATTTTAGTAACTATAAGTTTTTAATGCAAGTACAAGGATTATAATTAATTATCTTCCGTTTTACAGGCTCACATGAGCGGCAACTCGGTAGCGCGGCCGCTCTTCAACGTCTTCCCTTCAGATTTGGACGCGCGGCGCGTGAGCGATCAGTTCTTCTGGGGTGACGGCATCATGGTGGCGCCCGTGCTCACCGAGGGCGCCGTCAGCAGGAGCGTCTACTTCCCGCAGGTGATAAAACAACCTTTGTTATTGTTGTTGTTCCTATGGCGTTGTTATCTTGAAGTCCTCTACTCTAGATGATAGGGATTACCATGTNATATTATATTATATTATATTATATTATATTATATTATATTATATTATATTATATTATATTATATTATATTATATTATATTATATTATATTATATTATATTATATTATATTATATTATATTATATTATATTATATTATATTATATTATATTATATTATATTATATTATATTATATTATATTATATTATATTATATTATATTATATTATATTATATTATATTATATTATATTATATTATATTATATTATATTATATTATATTATATTATATTATATTATATTATATTATATTATATTATATTATATTATATTATATTATATTATATTATATTATATTATATTATATTATATTATATTATATTATATTATATTATATTATATTATATTATATTATATTATATTATATTATATTATATTATATTATATTATATTATATTATATTATATTATATTATATTATATTATATTATATTATATTATATTATATTATATTATATTATATTATATTATATTATATTATATTATATTATATTATATTATATTATATTATATTATATTATATTATATTATATTATATTATATTATATTATATTATATTATATTATATTATATTATATTATATTATATTATATTATATTATATTATATTATATTATCTGTCTCTTATACACATCTAGATGTGTATAAGAGACAGATATTATATTATATTATATTATATTATATTATATTATATTATATTATATTATATTATATTATATTATATTTTATAAAAGAGTATGTAATAATGAGAGTGTAATGTGAGTTAAGTTGGCGAATTTAATTCTATTTGAATTAAAATTAATTTTGAAGCTATAAATTTTCAAAATATGGCATTGTGACCGTTTTCTGGTGAGATTAATGACAAAAAAAAACGTTTAATTTACGACTCAAGCTTCCCATTGGGAATTCTGTGCAATATCGTATATCTTTATTGATTTCTTAAGTAAGAGTTCTCAAAATTTTGCTTTTAAAATTGTTATGTTATTATGCTAAGGTAGTCGCAGCTGAACTCGAATTAAAGTATCCTATACATTTAATCCTTTTGTTTAATAAGTAAAACATAATTATAGCAACACTCGCTGTCGTTTCCTTGGTCAGTTTCCGACAAATTGGTCCCATCACATTCGAGGATCAGTTCATCCAGTTCACTGTTCGGCTGGCCTCTGAATATCTTTACGGCTTTGGAGAGAACATTCACCCTTCAATCGCCCACAGCTTCACGCCTCGGGTTACTTACCCCATGTTCACGAGGGATCGAGAAGTTTCTGCAGTGAGTGTCACAATCACCCGAGCATTAGAATTTGTTTCAATTTGATTATAATATAATATTGTTTCAATTTTGTTGCGAATATTGTTTCAATTTGATTATGTCCTAAATTATCCATATGGGCCTACATTCAGTTTTTCCTTTACTCTGAAGATATCTAATTAGCTCCGAATTCTATTTATACTAAATGGAAATTAGTTTAGTTTCGTACTAGAAGATTTAAATCCCTGTCGTATATGAATTAAAATTTCCATGCATTGTTTAAATAATGTATGGGGGGTTTCTAATATCAGTATTTTTTTCTTGAGTATTTTCAAAACGTGTTTTCCTCTCACAGACGGAGCCTCCTTTGAACCACTATGGTACATACCCTTACTACATGAACATTGAGGATGACGAGGGTAACACTCACTCTGTCCTCTTCCTCAACTCTAACGCCATGGGTGAGCAACTGAATATTTCTTTACTCAACGATAAAAGTTAGTTTAACATTCATATAGAAATTAATATGCTTTTGGCGAGTCTTTCCGATTCATCTTCGTTGTATGACTGAATTTATTGAGTCACACACGAACTTCTGGAAAATAATGGAAAGGCCAATATCAGTCATGGAGTGAAAGCCATTACGGTCGATTTGTCAGAGTAAAAAGTAAGACATAATACCTGCAATATCTCTGATTGTATAGTAAGAGTCTAATGAATGCATTACTGATCATAACATTAAAGTCGATAATACTCGTATAGTTGTAGCCCAAATCTATTAGCATCGTAGAACGCAGGATAGCTCGTATCATTTCGGAGAGTAAAATTTCTGGTGGCATTTAGCGTTATTTTTGATTCATCGTTTCCGACTGCCCACTTCAACTGCTACTTGGCGTTCGAAAGTGACGAAAACCTAAGCGTTTTTTTCAACAAATTGTGATTAAATTTGAGTTAATGCATACTTCTGATTGCAGCACAGTTGATAATTTCACATTCACCTCTCAGAATACTCGACTTTCCTGCTGGACGACGGTACCCCGGCGCTGACTCTCCGCTCCATCGGAGGGGTCATCGACTTACACATCTTCACGGGGCCCACGCCTGAAGAAGCTACGATGCAACTAAACACGGTCAGATAACAGAGCCCTGTTCTAATCTATGAAAATAATGAAAATGTGAATAAATTTTGGTTTTTATGCTCAAGAAAAATAAGGAATCATGTTTATTGGATCTGGAACTTTCAATGGAGCCTTTTTTCATTCATTCTCACTTATTATACGCAACACAAGAACTAAATTTTCAATGTTATCAAACTTCTACAATTCATTTTGCTCCAACATGTGGAATATATCTAAAATTCTAAATTTTCCTTGCATTTTAAGAGATTAATTAAGTTTCGACATCGATCATATCATCATTCAATAGCACGATTTCTTAAAACATGTTTTAGCTTATTTTCTCATATATGGAAAAAAATGCACTTTTGTGCTCGCCATGTCCGTCTGACTGTCCGTCCATGACTTCACGTTTTCGTCGACGAGAAAATGCGCTCTCTGTCACTCACTGCAGTGAGTACTGAGTTATATTTATTCCACAAATGAGAAAATGCGATCTCTGTCACTCACTGCAGTGAGTACTGAGTTATATTTTCTACTTGGTGTACAGGCGATAGGCAAGCCAACCTTCCCTCCCTACTGGGCGCTGGGCTTCCAGTTGAGCCGCTGGGGCTACAACTCCACTGATGGAGTCCGGGCCGTACGGCAGCGCATGGTCGACGCCGGCATCCCGCAGGTATTCCCAAGTGTGATATAAATAACGTTATATATTGTAAAATTGCTATTTATATATTATTCTATTTCTGAAGAGCTTATAAGAATGCAGCAATGTCATTAGTTTTCAAAACTACAACTGCTGAAGCAATACGACTGTGAAAAAATCCTGAGTAGTTGGCGTTTATTTGTACTCATGCGGTCTACTAACATTTATAAAGACCAATGGTTAGTTAATTTTGATAACATAACATAGTTATGTCGGCGCTGAAGATTAGGCCTGATGTGGCCTGTCGCCGATTCTTACTTTTCGTGCCTTGTTACAGAAGATCTAAAATCGTGTCGTTTGACCGGATCTTTTCAGGACTGACGAAAGTTTGAAATAGCTACTAGACTTCCACCGGGTTCGATTTGGTTCTAGGCATTTCAAATCTGAACATATATTTTTCCATAGCTTTATCTAGTCTGTTCTTGAACGCGTTCATACTCGGAGCGTCAACGATGTAATCGGTGAAGCTGTTCCACATGTAGGTGACTTGAAGCGAGAAAAAATGTTGTCGCGTGTAGAAGTTGCAGCGCAATTTTTTTGGTTTGCAAATAAACAATATAATCGTATCATTTATTTTTCAGGACGTGCAATTTGTTGATGGTGATTACATGGACTCATACTACGACTTCTCTTACAACCACGTCAACTACACCGACCTGCCTGAANTGATGAACTGCTTGCTGATAACGTCAGGATGGTTCTGATCGTGGTGAGTGTTGGCGGACGAAGAAATATCCATGGGAAATTTCTCAAAAAAATTACAACATATTTTTTTTTTCGAGAAAATTTGGCGAGTATTTTATTGATAGTCAGTTATTTCTATTAGATATAAATGGAATCATAGCTGAGAATGCAATAGCAGTTTAGGGCAATATTTTATTGTAACAGCGAGATGTGGTGCCGTTAAATTTTCCTCAATAATGATATATTTGGGGCTAAAAATATAAAGGAGACTGTCATCTATTTAATTTTGGTACAATTGCAATGGCGAGAGTATAACAGGCTTGCACAGTTTGATACAAATCGGCTTGATATATGCGTTGCAGTCCCATTCACCGAAGTATTATGCATTCCACGGATTTTTGAACAACCATAAAAGTAAAAAATTACCATAAAAGGGAGACTAATGCCCAAACGCGATCTCAATACGACCTAAAATGACTTTAATGCTGAAAATTGTCCACTATACCGTAGAAAAGACATCCAAACACGAATAAAATCTCCTATAATAAATCAAAGCCCTCCAAATGCAATGGTTTAGCTATCATGATAATTTTAAACCTTTTACGAGTGATATTGGTATGATCGAAACCAAGTTATGATCATATTGGTATGATCGAAGCAACCAACTAGTATGATCGAAATGCTATCTTATGATGAAAACATAACAAAAGTAAATGAATGCTTTGAATTCCTCAGGACCCTGGCATAGCCGTCAACACGGCCCTCAACCCGCCCTACAACTCTGGCCGAGCCAACAAGGTCTTCATTAAGGTAAATTTTAAATAATTAATAATTATAATTATGATGATATTAATTGTTAAAAATATAATAATAATAAACAATCGGTTTTTTTATTTACGAATGATTGATTACTTACAGATAAGTTAGTCAGGTAGATGAGTATTTTTTATTTTAGATTTGATAGTGAATTATTCAATTATGGTTTAATAAATAACTAATCTAACGAGGAAATACGTTTAAATACCACTCAGTCTGTTATTCAGCCTCAATTCAATCATTTAATACATTACTTTAAGTGTTGTATGATAAACTAGTGCCATGAATAAAATTTCAGCTGACTGAACCTTCACTCCCAATCTAATATGAATATTAAATCTTAGCTTAATTACTCCTATGATCGAGGTTGTCTCGGAAATATTTAATACGTGACTTTTCTGTCTTTGATTTTTACCATGCGGTCACTCTTGTATGGTTCTTGTATTCTATCTTCTTGTTGATTCACGACTGTAATATTCGTATACGAGTTCATTTTTTCGTTGATTTTAACCCTGCAGTAAACTCTTGGTGCATTCTATGTTCTTGATGAATGCTCGACTGTAATATTCGTATATGACTTCAGTTTTTTCGTTGATATTAACCCTGCAGACACTTTTGATCCATTTTATGTTTTTCTTGAATATATGACTGTAATATTCGTATTAAACTTAATTTTTCGTTGATTTTAACCCTGCAGGAAACTCTTTGTGCATTCTATCCTCTTGTTAAATATTCGACTGTAATATTTTTGTGCAGTGGATGACTCCAGACCTGGTGCCCGCTGACCAGCCAATTGAAGGCGACGACTTCGTGCTCGGCAACGTGTGGCCAGAAGAAATGGTCGCCTTCCCTGATTTTCTCAATTCCGAAACTAAGCGCTGGTGGGCCGACGAGATCGGCAGATTCCACGCGGTAAATTCACATTTTCTTCTCAGCAATAATAAAAATTTAAATTTAGAGGCTCAAATTTAAACCCAATACCAATTGTGATTTTCAGACCTCCTGATAAATTTTTTATGTGATCGAAGCACGTGTCTGAAAGCGATATACCAGTGGAAATTTCGAAAATGATTCAAAATAAACTTGCATTCTCGCATATTCACGAAAATATTAGTGAGTAAATTGTATTTATAGATTTTTTACTCTACTAAGTAGAAGAAATTAATGAATGAATTCGAAGCAAAAATGTGAATTTTTTTAAAATTGCAGTCGGTGCACTTTGACGGACTGTGGATCGACATGAATGAACCGGCAAACTTCGAGACTAACCTCGGGACGGCCGGCCACCTGCAGTGCCCCGATAACCAGTGAGATATATGAGACTACAAAAGCTTTACGTCGTATATATGTCTCCAAAAATTTTCATATAACATGAAAAAATAACGGTTGGTATTCTTCATACTTGGAACAAATTCGGCTTAACATTTGCGTCACAGTCATATGTTTGTGTTATAAATCATTCAGTCCATAAATTCACCAACTGTTCACCTAAAAACACGCAACAAATTGAGTCTTGAAAAAGATATAAAATTTTAAATGAACCGTGCAGCTTTGAGAACCCACCGTACCCGACGCTTGCAGCCACCGTGTCCAACAACGCCGTCAAGCAGCTGTGCGACAAGACGCTCTGCATGTCGTCCGCAGGCAGCGACGGCAGCAGAAATTTCCTCTTCTACGACACACACAGTCTCTTCGGACACGCTGAGTCTGAAGCGACCTCGCAGTAAGTACAAGCGATAGTGTCTGATAGTAGGTGCAGGCGATAGTGCACCGACCTCTTTGCAGACGATAGTGCACATAACTCTGTAGGCGCAGGCGATAGTGCACCTACCTCTGTAATGGTGCCGACGATAGTGCACCTAACTCTGCATGTGTAGGTACAGGCGATAGTGCACCTAACTCTGTGTAAGTGCAGGCGATAGTGCACCTAACTCTGCGTAGGTACAGGCGATAGTGCACCTAACTCTGTGTAAGTGCAGGCGATAGTGCACCTATTCTTCCACTACGTCAGTTTGTTCTGTAGACGCTAGTCTGCATTATATATATGTTTATTGACGCATTACAAGTTCATGACGTATCTCTACAACATCTTCCACTACGTCAGTTTGTTCTGTAGACGCTAGTCTGCATTATATATATGTTTATTGACGCATTACAAGTTCATGACGTATCTCTACAACCTCTTCCGCTACGTCAGTTTGTTCTGTAGACGCTAATCTGCATTATTAAAATGTTTCTTGACGCGCTACAAGTTCTTGCCGTATCTCTACAACCTCTTCCACTACGTCAGTTTTTTCCGTAGACGCTAGTCTGCATTATATTATATATATGTTTATTGACACACTACAAGTTCATGACGTATCTCTACAACCTCTTCCACTACGTCAGTTTGTTTTGTAGACGCTAGTCTGAATTATATATATGTTTATTGACGCACTACAAGTTCATGATGTATCTCTACAACTTCTTCCACTACGTCAGTTTGTTCTGTAGACGCTAGGTCGCTCTATAAACATACTTTATAAATTAGGTGACTCGTTAATTTCAAAATTCATCTCGTGAATTCTTGTCGTTATGTTCGGTTTACAGCTTCAAGTGTCGTCATTTAATCTCCTGTGCGACCCGAAACCTTGATATAATTTTATTCACAATAAGCTTTGAGTGTATGTATATCAGTGAAGATTAAATTTCTTCCGTTGTGCAGGCTCACATGAGCGGCAACTCGGTAGCGCGGCCGCTCTTCAACGTCTTCCCTTCAGATTTGGACGCGCGGCGCGTGAGCGATCAGTTCTTCTGGGGTGACGGCATCATGGTGGCGCCCGTGCTCACCGAGGGCGCCGTCAGCAGGAGCGTCTACTTCCCGCAGGTGATAAAAAACTACCTTTAATATTGTTCTTTTTGTTGCTGTTTTGGGTGTCGTTATCTCAAAGTCCTCTACTTTAGATGACAGGATTTTCCACGTACATACTCCCGTAAAATTTACAACCGGAAAGTGCGTATATTCTTGAGGTGTTTACGGAAGCCTGATAAGTCCCTTTGGGAAAATGATCTCTTTCTGGCATGTGGAGGCTTAGTATAAAAAATATAACTCAGTATTCACTGCAGTGAGTGACAGAGAGCGCATTTTCTCGTCGACGAAAACGTGAAGTCACGGACGGACAGACAGACAGACGGACAGACGGACGGACGGACATGGCGAGCAGAATAGCGCCTTTTCCATAAATGAGAAAATGCGCTAAAAAGCTTTTCATAGTAGTAACTTTGAAATAATGATCTATCTCTCGATTAGACAGGAATATTTGTTTCAAGAAAGAATAATAAATTTATTTATACATGTAGTATCGCTTAAACTTAACATAACATAACATAACATAGCATAACATAACATAACATAGTGATGTCGGCGCTGAAGAGTAGGGCTGATGTGGCCTGTCGCCGATTCTTGTACTTTTCGTGCCTTGTTCACAGAAGATCCAAAAGCATGTCCTTTAACCGGATGGTTTCAAGACTGACGATAGTTTGAAGTTGCTACTAGACAGTTCCACCAGGTTTGATATGGTGCTAGGCATTTCAAGTCTGAACATATATTTCTCCATAGCTTTACCTAGTCTGTTCCTGAACGCGTTTTTACTTGGAGCGCCAACGACGTAATTGGGAGGCTGTTCCACATGTCGGTGATTCGAAGCGAGAAGAACTTGTTCAATTCAATAATGATGGAAAAGAGTCGCAGTTGAGAGATGAACTCCCAACGAACGTTACTTCATTGCTGATGTGTCGGGCAGGGCGTGTGGTACGCGCTGGACTCGGAAGAGGTGGAGGCCGTGGGCCCCGTCACTCAGGTCGTCGACGCGCCCATTCAGCGCATCCCCGTCTACTTCAGAGGAGGCTCCATCATCCCCTTCCAAGAACCTGCCACTACCACCGCGGAAAGGTGGAGTATTACTAATTACATCCCAAATAGATTACAAACGGGAACCTACACAATTGCCAGGAAGTGGTGCGTTGCCAACTACACTTGCCATCGAATAGAAGTAAACAACGTCTGTTATTATCAGGATTGCTCAATTTTATGTCTTTACTTGTGCAGTCGCCTGAACGACTTCGGGCTGCTGGTGGCGCTGGACGCCGCGCTGCAGGCGAGCGGTGAGGTGTTCTGGGACGACGGGGAACAGGAGCACATCATGTCTGAGACCTACAGCGCCGACGTGGTCTTTGATGAGGTAGCGCAGTTGTTGTTTCTTATTATGTAGTTATTGTCATTAATAAATTTTATATCCAGGTTTTTTCTGTTTAAGTGACTGGTTTTTACTCTTACATTTATGTGATTTATGAAGGTCTTTATTAGGTGCATGATGGTTACTAGCGGGCAATTGAAAGAAAGATGGATGTTAGAGGTTAAAGTGTGATATTTTGACGATATCTTATGTTTATGAATCAAAGCCTGAAGACATGGAAACTTTTGCACATTGCTGGACGTGATCCACAACGTTTGATAGGAATTATATTTTAATGTGGCCCCTTTAATGCTATTATCGGACATTTCTACGAGGGTTATTTATTGCAATTTCATAGTTAAATAACATCTAATCTTATTCCAACATAAGTACCGTGCGTTATGAATTCATAATAAAACCAGTACTTCAAACATGCGCAAGTCGCATAAGGAGTTTCGTTTCGCATTAATGGAGGTTACCACTGATATATTTCTATTAAGTTTTTACGACGTTTGCCAATATTTTTAATACAGGGTCTACATACTTTTTCTTTTTAATTTAAATAATTTATCGTTTGTGATCATTTGAAAGTAGTTGATCCATTATATGAGCCGTAACAACTTTTTCATTTGTCGTGAATGAAATCTTTGGGCATATTGTATACTACATATGTACGAAAAGTCTTTTTACTGACATAAGATGAACACCTCGACAAGTTTTATCCTGCATTCTGTATAATGAAATTACAGTATCTTCTAAAACAATTAACATTATTTTTCTTTCATATTTTATTTCTTTCCCGTCTACTATATTTTTACTAGAACTCCATCTAAGCTTACCCAATAATTGGGCATTCTTTTGAAATTAAACAATTTACATTTAGCGAGACTGGAATACGTTAATAGAATCGGTACATTTATTTTCACACTTGACCTTTCAATTCTTTTCGAATACTAGAGAATACTAGAGAAGCTAACGAATGATTGCGTTTTGCTACTGATTTCCCAATGCTCCGTGTAATTGAATTTTATATATGTGAGTGATATAAATTAAGAAGTACTCTTAATCACATATAATTGAGTCATAATTACGTATAACAAAATTTTAATCACGACGATTCATCAGGGCCAGATGGTAATGACTGGAAAGTTTGACCGCACGGCGGCGGCCGGAGTGAACCTTGGCAGCGTCCGCGTGCTCGGACTGCCTGCAAGCCCGACCGCCATTTCCGTCAACGGCGTCGACACCGACACATTCACGTACGATTCCGCGACGCAGGTGCTCGTGCTCAGCCTTAACCTGCCGCTTAACGAAGACTTCAGCATCGTCTTCAGCTAAAATAACTTTTAATTGCTTCAATAATGCCTAATCGTGCAGAGTTTTTTAAATGTGAGATATCTGCTGATTGGATTGAATATTAAAATGTAAAAGCCTTTTTGTCTTTGTTTCATTTACAGAAATTTTTTCTATAATACTGTGGTACCTCGATACTCGACCCCCCTTTATACTCGACCAAATCGTTGCTTAACCAAAAAAAAAATCGAGTAGAAAATGCATCGGACCTCGTGAAATCGAGTAGATCAGTAGAAATGCATAGAATCTCGAACAGAATTTTGGTAGTACTCGTACTGGTTGACTGCCCATCCATACATGCATAGCTTCATCAACTGCCATGCCCAAGAATTAAAATATGTCCATTTAAATGGAAGTTTTGATCCGAACAATAAAATTAACGCTATTTCCGCAAAAAAGTCGGAAGGAGTAATGCCATTTTTTTTAATTGAAGTAGATGGAGAAAATTCAATTAAATTACAGCTTGATAGTTTCCCTTTTAGTTTATTTGAATATATTGTAAAAAAATCCTTTAGCGTCGTTACCGCCTTTAATCGAGTTTTCATCCGCGATTTTCTCCAATATCATGCAAAATTGTGAAAAATTCGTCCATATGAATTATGTTATAATTGTCCATACCATCTCGTAGTGACTCAATTTATGCATATTTCTTATGCTTGCCCACGAAGGCGCTGCTAACAAATTAGTATGACTATAATGGTGCGGCAGATATTAAACCCTACATTGTTGACAAAGATGATGATGATGATCAATGTGCGTAAAAACCTAGCGACTAACTCTTTCGAGCAGGAAGGAACCATAAGCATTGTACAGACACGGCTAGGTATCATATAAAAGTCCGCTGCCAGTCGATGTTGGATACAAATTGTAAAATTATCTCTTGAAATTTCAATCTCTTAAACTTAATTTAATTTTCTTTTTGATTTATTAAGTTTTGTGATACCCTGCCATATATGCAAGGCCGCCGTTTTATTCTCCCTCATTAAGATTAGATTGTTACTTTTGAATGCTCCACATCGGCTTCTATATCATACATAGTACTTGGGTAGTAAAATTTCTCCAGCACCATAATCGCAGCTGGGTGGGAGACAAGGTACATCAGATGTGTTCGATCGAGTTCTAATTCGAAATTTTAATTGAAAAATTTCACTTATATTGAGGAAACTGTTAGGGAACACAGTGCATTAGAGTTTTATTAAAAGTTACGTATATATAATTTTGGTTATAAGTCACCTCGGATGTGACCTCGTTTATATATGCTCTACACTTATTCATTTCATTGTGATCCACCACAGAGAGGGGCTCTGAAGTCATGTTTTGAAATACGGTTCAGATAATGCGCGCATATATTTTGGATTTGGAGTCTTTTATGTTAGTATATTTATTTTATTCAAAATTTGTATTTATCCTTACTACTGGCCGAACGATCGCGCAAGCCAAGTTAGTGTGTCCTGGTAGAACGCATGCCGGAGGCCAGCTTAGCCCAACTTTACACATTAATTACTTCCTGTCCGAACCTGAGGCGAGTGGTGCAGAATCAAGTGGACAAAAGAAGAAGACTTCAATCACATTCCTTTCCGTGGGTAAGAAAGCTAGGGGGGAATAACGGCCTATGAAGTCAGTTCTTTGCGCCATAACGCAGTATGGTCAAAGCGTAATCATGCCCAAGTTGAACGTGGTCATACTGCATCTGGCCAAACCTATTCCCGTCCAACCTCTTCTGGCCTAATCTACACGCGTTGCAACATTTCACCACGCAAAACGAATCTTACCTAACCTCATTGGCTGCTGGACATTGGAGAGGAGAGGCGAGTGAGAAGATAGAGCTATTTATTGGCTGCAAAAAGCTTCTCAGTCGTGGCAACGTTAATAGGTTGGGACAGAAGATGTAAGGCCATAGTAGGTGCGGCCGGATGCTGAACTGCCTGTTTATGAGCGGGCATGCTGAAGTTTGGCTGAAGCCCTACGTCGCTATTATCTTTAAGCTATGTAGCACTGGTGCGGATTACGGTGTTCCAGTGTAGACTGTGGCTTCTATCAGTCACTGAGACTGCGTAAAGTTATTGCATGCTGGAGCTGAGTGTTGGCTCCATGGCTTATTTTACAAAACAGACTAGATGAAGCTATGCAGGAGCATATGTTCAGTCTTAAAATGCCTAGCAAATTACAGACCAGGCAATAAGTCCAGCAGCAATCTCGATCAATCGTCAGTTATGGAAAGATCGGGTTCCAAAGGCCGGATCCCTTGTGAATCAAGTCACGAAAAGTTCAAGAATCGGCAACAGGCCATGGGCCTATTTCTTCAATGCCGACACTTCTATTCTATTCTATTCTAAGGGTAAAATTGGTCGATCGATCAGGGCTGCGCTCCGTCCTAGTGACCCCGACGAAACAGGCAAAGCGTATCAGCGATTGTGATCTGAGAAGTTTTAAGGAAAACTACTGACTCGGATCAGAAATTTTTCCAACAGTTAGGTTTTTTTCAATTTAAATTAATAGTGAATGTGACAAATTTCATGAATTCATCGTATGCAATGGTTAAGTTCTCATCAACGTTGTACGAGGTAATTCGCACTGCGTTATTTTCTGTGCAAGTAGTTGTATTTCGTATTAACTCTGTCTTCGCAAAGAAAAAATTTCTGATTGTTAATTCCCCAAACGGCTGCAAAATTTTATTTCTTCATAGCTACAATATTATTCTGAATTATAGGGTAAATGCATAAATTCATTTCTAGATAATTCGTACGTGACCTACAGACTCGACTGTAAACGTTAGAGATTTAATGTTTTCATTGCCCTAACTCTTTTTCAGCTACCTAGGCTTATGACCAAATGAATTAGGTCACACGTTCGCTGTCGTTTGGTTGTGACTATTCTTTATATTGTGATTTTTTCGATTGCAGAACCACAAGCTAAATTAAACAACCAAAGTTAGTTGAAGATAGTTGACAGGAATTATATTTCCATAAATTGTTACTGGATTTTTATTAGTATGTGCATTCAAAATTCATCATTTCAACCCCAAATTTAAGGCAGAATTAAATTTCCAAACTATTTCTTCGACACTTCTGTTCATGATGATAATATACTTGCAGAAATGGTGAGAAATGGATAAACATACGAAATTTGAAGTCAAATTAAAACGAATATTTTGCTACTCAGATGAGGTAGTAGATTTCTCATGAAAATTTCACTAAATGTGAAACTAATGAAACTTTAAAATCTTCCTTATTTTGCTGAACGCTGTTCCATTAGTGAATTTATAAGGATAACCTAAACGTCAGTTGCTCGGTGTTACCGAATTGATACTCCCAGCAATTTTATACTCCCGTTATCTCGAGCCGCGTTGATAAAAATGAAATGCGTATTAACTAAAGCCATGTTTAAATTCACATTATGTATGCTTAGAACAAACACCTAACCTCATGACTCCCGTTGCATAATGCGAAAGAGCTTTTTCTTCGTCGACTTATAAAATTATTTAAATTTAATTCCGATCTTTGGCTCCAATACCTTCGTGCCCGTTTCTTCTGGCTCAATTCTTTGGCTCAAGTCTTTTGTGCACTAATATGTAAATTTGTGCAAACTTTGCCAGTTGCTTTTACGAGTATGCTCCGGAAAATTATCAATCGATCACTTTCGCTATTGATTAAAATGAGTATCCAACTTACTGCGTTACCAAGGAAAAATTATTTCTGCTGAGTAATTCTGACAATTTGTTTTTTAGCAATCGCCACTGCATGAGAGTTTTTTGTCAGAAGTCTTGCGTTCATGCAGAAGTTCTCACGATAGACTTGTAAACATGGGCATTTCCAAGGGCAACCATTTCATTTATTCTAAAAACAAATTCAGATTCCACTTTTTCGTGTATTTTTTTAATTTCCAAATAAGCATGATCTGCTTTCGATCTAAGCATGATCTGCTTTTCGATCTAAGCATGATCTGCTTGTCGATCTAAGCATGTGAATATGTATTAATGAGAGTATATTAATTTTCAAGTAATCGATTCTTAACAAATATTGCTGCAAGTTGATCTGTCGGCGACGTGTCTTCTCCGCAATCTATAAAAGGTTATCTTGTCTGTCCTCTGCAACGAGGTTTTGCTTATCTGTGCACCTGGCGATGTCTCTGCCAATGTTCGTTTAAGTAGCCGTACACTTTGACTATTTTATCGTTATTCTACCGTCTTACGTTAACGACACGCCTGATGGAGCACCGCTTCCTGACTCTGCTGCTGGTGGGCATGGGCTTGGGCCTGTGCAGCGCCCAGAACAACATACGTAGCATAGAATGCCCTGTGCCAGGTAAAAATGCTTTTGTTTATTTTCTGTTGAGATTGAATTGATAAACCGGTTTACAATCCAAAGTTTGCGTAGCTGTGCTCAACGTGTACTCCATTGAAAGCTAAGTTAAACAATATTAATGTGTCTTCTAATCTCCAGGTAAGCCAATGACCTGAACTTAGGACAACAGTATATTTAAGCCATATTTCTTGTGATGACATCATTAATTAACAGTAATCATAATTACAGGTAACCCAACAAGTGTAACAGAGGAGGACTGCAGCTTGTACACGGCATGCGTGTGGGACGCGGAGGCAGGCGTGTGCCACATGGCGGACAACAGAGCGGCGGGGTACTACTACAGCACCGACCCTGTCGACACCGGGAGGGGCTTTGTTGTGAGTTGTAACTTACGCGGACATTAGTGATGCTTTTTGTTTTATTGAATTTGTATTTTAAAAACCTGTTAGTTATGCAGGGGCTTTGTTGTGAGTTATAACTTACGCGGACATTAGTGAAGCTTTTTGTTTATTGAATGTGCATTTAAAAACCTATAGGTTATACAGGGGCTTCGTAGTGAGTCATAACTTACGCGGACATTAGTGAAGTTTTTTGTTTTATTGAATGTGTATTTTGAAAACATGTTAGTTATACAGGGGCTTCGTCGTGAGTTATAACTTACACGGACATTAGTGATGCTTTTTGTTTTATTGAAGTTGTATTTTGAAAACATGTTAGTTAT